TACTCCACACACATCTGAGGCCACCTTCCGAATGTTGGTTGCCATCTTCTCCCACATGTTGTTTATGTCCTCTTCTTCCTTCCAAGAGCCCTCTTTGATAACCCTTTCCCTGAATACATCTGACGTCTCCCCTTTCGGGTTTCCACCAAGATTTTCGATGCCCGAAATTGGTCCCACAAAAAAAGCAGCTTGAAAACGATAATTATAAGATGAACAACATGTGGAGCTCTTCAGTTTTCTAGTAAGATCAATGTACCTTCATGTAAGGCTAGGCAATGTAGATCGGACCAACTTCACTAGAGATACCCAAGAGGATATAACATAAAGGTGTTGTACTGCAGACAATCAAGATGCAAAAACACTTTTAGGGAAACTTCACCGACAAAGGTGGTAAGATTACTCTCCAGATTTGGAGCAAATCCAAATTTACCTAAGCCATAATAACTGAGGAAGGTGCAAAGCCCCGATATAAGTCTTGTCCTTATCTACTTAGGATATTTATCTAGAGTAGTTGGTGGTTGTGTCAGCCCTTATCTTTATCCCTAGCATCTACTTTAGCATCTCTAGAATATGTTGTAGTTTTTTTTGAGGCTCAAGCAAGCTATCTTATATGTATCCCCAATCTGCCATAGTTGTGGCATGGCTAATGAAATCTAAAATTCAGCCCCAAACCTGTGTTTTGGTTCTAACAAATGGTATCTAGAGCCTAAATTCATCTGGGTTCTACCCTTACCCCATCCCAATCCGTCGCCATGTCTCTCCACTCCTCATCCTCTTCCTCCAACCTTTCCACCACCTCCAACATACGTCTGCAGCTGGCTGCAGCAGCCCAGCATGAGGAGGAGGTAGCGCTGCAAGTGCAAAGAAGAAGTGGAGAGGGCGACTCGCATCACCTAAGCGGAGCTTTGCATGGCGTCTTGGTGAAGCCGCCCACCAGCAAAGCAATGAGGCACTGTGAGGTCGCAATAGCGGCAGGCGCGCGTCTGCGTCGTGAGGCGACGCAGCGCAGCAGAGAGGACTTCTGGCGCCCGGCAGCGCATTGGATGCGTGGAGCGGCGGCGGCTATGGCTCAAGGCCATGTGAATGGCCTGCCCGACGCGGGCGACCTGGGTGGACGCGGTGGACGTGAGGCTAGCGACCGCGATGGCTTCGACAACCGACGCAGACGCGACGTGGGCCGCTTCGACGGACGACGCCACGACTTCGACCGGGACGAGCGGGCGGCACGCGACGCCAACGCCTGGCTGGAGCGGGAGGAGCGGCGCGAGACACGGGACCTGGGCGGACGGGACGCTGGCACGCAGAGCCCTCACAGGCAGCGCGCCTCCCCTTCCCCAGACCGGCGCCGTGGTCGCCATGGCCGGCCCAGCTCCCCTCCCGTCGTGCATACCGTCGTCAAGGACGCCGGCAGCGGATGGCCCATGCTCACCAAGACCAACTACGCCGAGTGGTCCATGGTGATGAAGGTGAAGATGTAGGCACGACGCATGTGGGATGCGTTACGGTACGACGACACTGACTTCGACGAGGATCGGCAGGCACTAGAGGCGCTTCTTGTTGCTGTTCCGACGGAGATGCACTCCTCCCTCGCGAACAAGCAGACCGCCAAGGACGCCTGGGACGCCATCATCCGCAAGACGACGGCAGCCGATCACGGCGCCCGCAGGTCCACGCTTCAGAAGCTGCGTCAGGAGTGGGAGAACCTGGCTTTCAAGCTGGGTGAGGACATCGACGACTTCGCTCTCCGCCTCAACACCCTGATGCAGCAGTTGGCGCGGTACGGCGACAATGACATCGACGAGGAGAGAGCTGTTGAGAAGTTCCTCCGCGTCGTCCACAAGAAGTACTCGCAGGTCGCCATCGCGATAGAGATGTTGCTGGACTTCTCCGAGCTATCGATCGAGGAGGTGATAGGTCGCCTCAAGGCCGTCGACAACCGCGAGTAGCTACCTCCCTCAGAGCCGGTCACCATCGGTGACAAGCTTCTCTTCACCGAGGAGCGATGGGCTCGCTTCGCCAGTGGGAGCGAAGAAGGGGAGGCCTCGGGTTCTTTGGGCCGGGTTCGTCGAGCGGTATAGAAGTCGCCGGCTGCATAAACGGGACAAGGCGCGTGGTGGTGCTCCAGCGGCGCCGACGGTGGTATAAGGCTACCCGCGACGACACTCGCAATAATCGCGGAGGTCCGCCACTAGGTTAAGGACTATCGGCCGCACACGTCGCAAAAAGCGCAGGAGGGTGACTAGCCGACTGTTCTTCTTACACGGAGCATCGAGCCGCGCTCCTCTCTCCCGGCCGGCCGCCGCCAAGACAACACCTCGACGACGAGGTGGGCTCACGTCTTCCTCGACAATGGGTCCGACGGCGACAAAATCGATGGGTGGTACCTCGACACCAACGCCACCCACCACATGAACGGGCGGCGGGAGTTCTTCTCCGAGCTCCACTCTAGCGTTCGAGGCTCCATCAGGTTCGGGGATGCCTCCGCCGTGGAGATCAAGGGCGTCGGCTCCGTCGTCTTCACCGCCAACACCGACGAGCACCGACTGCTCACCGGTGTCTACTACAACCCCGCGCTAAGGAACTCCATCATCAGCCTGGGACAGCTGGATGAGAACGACTCGCGCGTGGAGATCGAGCACGGGGTCTTGCGTATCTGGGATCACCATCGTCAACTTCTCGTCAAGGTGAACAGAGGCCTCAACCGCCTTTACGTCCTCCACGTGCAGGTGGCGCAGCCCGTGTGTCTTGCAGCCCGCCGCGACAACGACTCCTAGCGGTGGCACGAGCGCTTTGGGCACCTCAACTTCGAGGCCCTAAAGCATCTCGACAACAAGGAGATGGTGCAGGGCATGCCGCGAGTCAAGCACATGGAGCAGTTCTGCGACACCTGCGTCCTCACCAAGCAGTGGCGGCTCCCCTTTCCCCGCCAGGCGAGCTTCCGCGCCAAGGAGAAGCTGGAGCTCGTGCACGATGACCTCTGTAGCCCCGTGACACCGGCCACACCTGGAGGCCGACGCTTCTTCCTGCTCCTCGTCGACAACGTGTCCCGCTACATGTGGGCGGTCCTGCTCGACACCAAGGTGGCGGCTACGAACGCCATCAAATTGCTGCGGAGGAGTGCGGCCGCAAGCTTCGGGTGCTACGCACCGACAACGGCGGCGAGTTCACGGCTGCTGAGTTCGCGGCATACTGCGCTGATGAGGGGATCCAGCGCCACTTCTCCGCGTCGTACACCCCACAGCAGAACGGCGTCGTTGAGCGCCGCAACCAGACGATGGTGGCCACTGCCCGCGCCCTCCTCAAGTAGAGAGGGATGCCGGTTATCTACTGGGGGGATGCGGTGATGACTGTCGTCCATCTCCTCAACCGCTCGCCCACCAAGGCCCTTGACGGCAAGACGTCGTACGAGGCCTGGCATGGGCGCAAGCCGATGGTGAGCCACCTCCACGTCTTTGGCTGTCTCGCCTTCGCCGAGGAGCTCAACCACGTCGGCAAGCTCGACGACCGGAGCACGCCAGGGGTCTTCATCGGCTACGCGGAGGGCGTCAAGGCCTACCGCATCCTCGACCCTGCAACACAGCGCGTCCGCATCTCCCGGGACATCGTGTTTGACGAAGGGCGAGGCTGGGCCTAGGACAAGGCAGTGGACGACTGCTCGACTTCGACTCTCAGAGACTTCGTCGTCGACTACATCCATTTTGAGGGAGCTAGGGGAGCTAGCAACTCATCTTCACCGAGCTCGTCTACCTCAGCACTCGGCTCGCCATCAGCTCTGGCGAGTACTCCACCGCCTACACCACCAGCAAGTCCTCCACCACCTGTACCACCGGCTACGCCCCGCTCTCCTACACTGGCTCCCCAATCTCCTGCATCGGCACCAGCAGCCTTGGTCCGTGACAAGCAGCGCACGGTGGAGTTCGCCACTCCGCTGTCCGACAACGAGGATCGCGTCGATGCCTACCACGACGACGAGCCTCTGCGCTACCGCACCTTGGACAACATCTTCGGTGATCAGCCCGTTCCTGGACTGGCGGTGCACGACTTCGAGGCGGAGCTGCACCTGGCGCACGAGGACGGCGAGCCCTGCTCCTTCACTGAGGCGAAGGGAGACGTGGCATGGCGCGCCGCGATGTAGCAGGAGATGGACACGGTCGAGCAAAACCGGACGTGGGAGCTAGCGGATCTTCCTGCCGGCCACCGCGCCATCACCCTTAAGTCGGTCTACAAGCTCAAGAAGGATGAGGCCGGGGCGGTGATCAAGCACAAGGCACGTCTGGTGGCGCGCGGGTTCGTCCAGCAGGAGGGAGTCGACTTCGACGACGCCTTCGCGCCCGTTGCACGGATGGAGTCCGTCCGTCTCCTCGCACTGGCGGCCCATGAGGGTTGGTGTGTGCACCACATGGACGTCAAGTCCGCCTTCCTCAACGGTTACCTGAAGGAGGAGGTCTACGTCCACCAGCCGCCGGGATTCGTCATCCCCGGCAAGGAGAACAAGGTTCTTCGCCTACGCAAGGCCCTCTACGGCTTACGGCAGGCACCCCGAGCTTGGAACGCCAAGCTGGACTCCACTCTCAAGCAAATGGGGTTCCAGCAAAATCCTCACGAGGCTGCACATATCCGCATCAAGTACCACTTCATCAGGAGCTATTTGGATGAGGGAGCATCAAGGCCGGCCACATCAACACCAGGATCACTCACGATCTTCTCACCAAGTCCCTTAGGCGGGTCAAGTTCAGAGCTTCAAGGCTTGAGATTGGGATGGTTCAAATTCTGAAGGCGCCACACAAGACTTAGGGGGAGAATGACAGCTATAAGTCTTGTCCTTATCTACTTAGGATACTTATCTAGAGTAGTTGGTGGCTGTGTCAGCCCTTATCTTTATTCCTAACATCTACTTTAGCATCTCTAGAATATGTTGTAGTTTTCTTAAGGCTCAAGCAAGCTATCATATATGTATCCCCAACCTACCATAGTTGTGGCATGGCTAATGAAAATGAAATTCAGCCCCAAACACGTGTTTTGGTTCTAACAAAGCCAAATGCCTCCTTCATTCCAAAGAAAGAGTATCTGATGATCTGCAAGAAATCAGCAATTCCTATTAAGATTACTTTGAAATTCAGATCATAACAAAATTTACTCTAGGTTTTATAGCAACAGATAATGAAGTACAGAATTCAATGGTGGTTACAAATAAGTAATTTAGAGAATTACATCAAGTAATTTGTACCTCAGTGATAGACCAGCTTATGACCAGGGTAGTAACAAGAAGATGTGACTGGGTCTGCAAAACAAGGTTCACATTGTTAAGAAAATAATACAAATGTTTACTCACTATAGAAAAACGTTGAAATAGGATGCAAAAGGTAAAAGCACTATTTATCCTTTTCTAATATGTCTGGTGTAGAAACTTGTACATGCCCACTCATAGTTGCTTATTCCATCATCGGACTCGAAAATTAAATAACTGGCTAACCTTAACTTAGTCCTAAAAGTCACAAAATCATCTAATACATGTGTTCTCTAGTTCTAGCAAATGCTTTTAAACCTAAAAACGTGTCATAACTCAAGGTCCCAGCAGGCAACACATAGATATGTATCTAATTAAAATACGAAATTATAAAATGGAAACTATAAAGTTCATGAACAAATTAAGACGTATTCCTAAAAAAATGAATGTCATATATGAAAACATGAAGACTTGCTAGTGATGATACCTCAGGAAAACTCCACAAGACACCCCACGTAAGGAACAACCTGGATCCAATCTGTGGAAGAGTTGCCGAGACCGGAGACCTCACCAACCCTGTAAAGAAGACAAACTTATCAGAATAGTGACAAAAAAGTGACACCGCAATAGTGAAGAAAGCATATTTTTCTTATATATAACCCTCCTCGGAAACTTTCTAACAAATAAAATGTTTAATGTGTTCAAGATCCGGACTGATGTTTCTGTATCATACTGTTTTGAGTAGATGGACTATAATAAGAAAAAGGGATACACGTCCACCAACATCACCATACCTACGAGCCCATGAAGAATCTGAAGCACCAACAACGCCACCACCAGAAAAAACACAGAAAGGTCAGTTAGTACCTCACAATCTTCATGTGGGTAAAACATGAACTTGAACTACGGCACTAGAAATTTCACAGAGTTTATCTAGCACAGCAAAAGCATATTACTGAATTCGATCCACTGCAAGATTTTGCTGCGACCCTAAGTAACATTTATGTAATTGCAAACATCAATCTAGTTGATTACCAGTTCTTCCTACCAAGAACTACGAGACAGTTTTGCTTGTAGCATCCTTACTCAAACTTTAAAGCAGTAATCAGTCCTATTAGGATAGGTCCAGACTTCATGAGCTGAGCAAAAATATGAAATTGCGCCAGGTTTGCATCTTTACTGTGACAGAGCAGACTGAAGTGCACTACCAAAGTACTGCTAAATAAAAATGGGGGGAGGGAAAAGAAACAACTGACCTCCATGATGGCTGCTGTCTGCGCGAACTGTAGCGGCCTCTCGACGGCGGCGTAGACGGCCTTGTGCCCGCTCTCTCGCAGCGTCAGTACCGCGTAGTACAGCACCTGCGCCCTGCAACACCCCCAGATCAAAGAAACACCAAATCAGACCAAAACACGGCCAACGGAGCAAGAGGCGGAAGATCCATCCGGAACCCAAGAAGAACAGAGCAGCACGCAGCGGGGGCAACGGACCATCCGAAGAAGACGACCCGGTTGTAGACGGAGAGGTAGAGCCGCCGCCCGCCATCGCCTGAGCCGCGGTGAGGAGGGAGAAGACGCCGGGAAAGGACGGGACGGGCTTGACTATTCTGAACAGGCTCCTGAGCTGGCTACTACTGATCTAGTAAAAGCACGCCACACGCATCAGATTCGGCGTCTCGGCGCTCGGCGGTGGGATTGAGTCCGATTCGATCTAGCAGCGGCGGGCCAACCACTGGCCGGATTGAATCCGGAATTGAATTGGAATCGGATCGGGGCGGATGGAGGACAGGTGAGCCGGTGGGCAGCGGGAGAGAGTTTATTGCCGCTGGCAAGGCCTGCAGCTGCGTAAAGCGTAACTGCCAGCCCGCCGCCCACGCCAATTCCATCCGTGTGACCAGCAAATCTCTGTCACACAAGTATAGTACAATGAACATGCCCAATTTTCTATTGTCTTCCCTTTTCAGCTCTCCAGGAAAAAGCTACAATTTTTTTATCCATCGGCAGCCATCAATATTTATAACTCAGTCACGGTAACCCTGTGATCAAAACAGTAGTTGCTGTTTGATCCATAGCTACAGCTGATTTTACACCTGAATTCTGAGAGAAAAGCGAAAAGTGTGCAGATGTCAAAAAAAGAAGAAGGTATCAACCGAAATAAATGTAGTGATGAAGCATGCTATATAAAACTGTTCATTCAAGTCAGCAGCCGCAAGTCATTATGCCGAACCGACGCAAGAGAAACATCAAACATTCGAGTAGCTTTCCAAGTGACAATAAAACCGTTCAGCAAACTCAGCTGTCAACAATTAGCTCAACTAATAACAGGGAAGAAGACGGTTCAGTTAGCATGCCCATCGCACTTCTTTTGCAATCAAATTTAAAACTCCCAAAGTAATGTTACATGATCTGCCCCGCAAAACAAGCAAACTGACAACACAGACAAGCTTACTTCTATCTGTAAATTACTTTCTTGGCTTTCAGCTGTATAGCCTGTATGAGGTACTGGATTACCCCAAACAATGTACATTAACTCGGTACAAATGTGAGTTTCTATAATGCAGCCGTCCTTGGCTTTCAGCTGTATAGCCTGTATGAAGTACTGGATTACCCCAAACATTGTAGATTAATTGGACTCGGTAGAAATGTGAGTTCCTATAATGCAGCCGAGAGGATCCCCAGTTCGATGTGGAGCGGTTCGAGCCCTTCCTCTTCCAACAAGGAAAGGGCTGCCAGGCCATAGTAAGAATGGTAGATGTCTGGTATCCGATCATCTGGGAATTTTGTGAAGCCTCCATACTGTTGCAACAGTGAACCAAAAGATACCCTGAGTTATCTGAGAATGTGAATATGTAATTAAGCTGATAGAAGAGATTTGAGGTCAATTACAGGTGACTGGCAGGTGAGCAAAATCCCTCAGAGAGCACAGCGATCGATCAAGTGATAAGCACCCAAGATCTTCAAGACACCTCCAACCCTGTACAGTGAAATTAAAAGCAAGAAAATTACTCAGGTCTTGTTCACTTGTCAGATAACTAGTACAGAGATTGCAAAAATTTACCAAAAAGCATAGCAGGTATCACTGGGCTTGTTTCTTCTCCCTTGAAACCCTCCATTAGTCACTTGTCTCTACACAAGTAATAGAGAAATCAGTTTGCTAACATGAATGGAAATGCGTAGCACAATATTCAGATGCATAGAAATACTACATTTATCCAGCATGGGTAAAGAAAAAAATGGTATGTTTATGTAGTAGATAAAAAAAAATTCTTATTGCTACAGAATCACATAAGAGGGCAATCTTGATGGCTAATTGCGGAGACATGGTTGAGCACAAGTTCAACCTGAAGACACCATTCGAGGAGCATGCATATGTTGATGGACGAAGAATCTCTTATGTTAGATGCCAAATCAACTTGAATGAAGCCCATTAGATGGAGAGCCGCAACAGCACAAAAAGTTCCTCCACCTGACTCGCTAACACAAAGACAAGCAATGAGAACCTAAAACCCATTGCTCAGTGGTAACCAAAAATTAAGTTCTCCAAATGAAGCTGATAAAGTAGGCAAAGTATAACACATCAAAAGGTTAAATGAAATTGCTTACCATGAGATTCAGAACCAGGAACCATACCAAAGCCGCCATCATATGACTGCATATGATAACAACAAAAATTAGGCAATAGGCATTGCAGCTGTATGTATCTCAATGCAAAATGTGGTGCATTCTAAATTTTCGTAAATCAACCTGGCAGTTAAGAATGTATTCCTTTGCCTTTAACATGTCCATTCCTGTCCAGTCATCTAGCATTGAGCAGATTGCAGCTGCAAAGACACATCATATGCACCAAGTTAGATCAATAAAGAAATCAAATTATACTAATGTACATAAAGGACAGTGCTCCTCACCTGCACAGTATACAAAGCGAAGGTCTGTTTCTGCACCAATATGAGTAGGCATGAAGCTACAAAAAGATGTTTGTCAAAAAAGCCAATGCATTAAACAGGACACAGTATTCATAAAATGGAAGTCCCCTAGGCTGACTAATAACCAACCAAAAGCTCACTGATAAGCAAGATCACATGCAACAACAGAATCTATAGCATTTGCATTTACTCATAGGCATCTTTAACATTCTGCCCGAACAGGATCACTAAGGCCGCCGAAAGTGTAAAGATATATAAAGGTGGCATTTAGTAATGTATAAAGTATGTCTCAACAAGAGAACATGACTTAGGAGTAGCAACAAGTGAGCGCAATAGATGAACAAAGTAGTAATCATATAAGTTCTGGAAATCCTAATATAATTAGGGATGTGAACAATTACATGATGATACAAAAATTACAATGGAGCCAGTAAGGTGCGTGAAACTTTTATCTTGAACTTTAAGCAGATCTGCAGATGTGGAAGTAGAGATACTTCGAGGACCAATCTAAAAGTATAATGGCCATGATATGGGAATAAATGCCTACCTTCCATCTGGTTGCTGGAGCTTTTTCAAAGATAATAGAAGTGTCTTGAAGTCAATATTTGCTAGATCGTAGCCAATAATCTTGAGGATAGCAAGGGCAGAATAAGTGCTTGCAAGATGACTAACATTGCGACAAGGATCCTGAAACAGAGCATGCTTTAATATTTGAAGCTATCACAAAACACAAACATGAAAACGTATATAAAAGGTAGAATCAGCATTGGCCACCCATACCTTCACATTAGGCAAGGGAAATTGAGTTGATCTAGAACCACAGAATCCATAGAACAACCCTAGAAACACATGAAATGTTATATAGCGAGAATATTACAGCTGGAAACAGGACCTTTAGACATCATGGTAGTTATTTTTAACATAATGTACAAGGAAACTTACCAACATCTATATCATCATTCGCCTCAGGATGAACTTGAAAAGATAAAACCCATTTGGTTATTTCATCCTTGTTAATCTAAAGAGAGAGAGAAAAAAGAGATGCACAACTTCTCAGATCACTACATTACTTCTTACTTTAGAGTCAAGGAATCAAAGAGTACTACAAGCTGCATTTCACTCCTTTAGCAGACTATGCCAAACCTGAGGCTACCCTGGTAAGCAATAAAAAGGACTAGCATAAACTTAACTGTTAACCATATAAGCAGCAGCCAACTGTAGGAAAGCATTTAGTAACTGCCCAAACTGCTTACATAGAGGCGAGCAAATTTTAGACTATGAGCGCCACTTTAAGGGTACTAGCGCCACTTGGCTACTGCACATCAACATCACATGGGTTTTGGGCTCCCATTTCCCTAATGACAGAAATGTAGTACTTATTTTATATGGAACAAAAACCACGGTGAACATAGTTATGACATGTACATGCCAAGAAGAGTTATAACCCCTACTAGTCTGTCGCCTCTAACCCCCTTGAGTAGATTAATGGATTAATTAATTAACAGGTCAGTTGTTAACATCACTCATAGAAACATTGAGAAGTCCGCTATCCATCCATAAGTACAATTCAGCTATCTCTGCATTTGCAACCTCCTGCATTTATCATCACGAATACTACTTGTGCTTACCAGCATGAATTCTTCAACTACTTTATTAATACTATACTTGCTTGCACTCATTGCCCCAACTGAACAAAATTTAATGGGATTACACAGAGGGCTAAAATTCTATCAGATTTAGTTGTCATGAGCTTTGAATGTTCCTCTTCTTCCTCCTTATCCCAGGTGCTCCCTTACTAACCAACATAGAATCAAAACTCTACTCTTAAAATAAGTACAAATTCCCTGCTTTTCCAAAGGAAATACGTGCTTACTTTTCCAAAGGAAATACGTGCTTAGAATGAGAAGTTACAATTCTATCTAATAATTCTTAAGTGCACAGATCTACTGCTGCCTATATCTATGTTATTTCATACAATTCAGGTTACACTAACTGCAATGCAGCGCCCTAACAAGTAATGAAGATCCAATTTTTGCACTCAAACGAATCCAGAACATGACAAACCGCAGGCAGAATTATGATCGATAAAACACACGTCGCGGCGGAGCAGGTGGGATCTTACCCGGTCGAGCTCCCGAAGAAGGGAGAGGCCGCCAACGGCAAAGTAGGCGAGGGTGAGGTGGTTCACCTCCTGCGATGCGTATTCGCCAGGGAGCTCCATGGCTATGGCGTCGAAGAACGCCACGTGGTGCAGACCCTCAAAATTTTGCATCCCGTTTGCTGCCTGGGTCCGCCACGAATCGAAGGCCACACGGACACGCCCTCGTGCCCAGCTGTGCTCGAACTAAAGTGCACAAAGAATTAGCCCATGTATTTAGCCCACAATTAGCCCATGTTTTCTTATACTAATCAGAAAGCCTAAATGTGAGCTACTTCTAGACTAATAAGAGCTAATTAGTGGTTAGATTCCATTAGCCTTTATTAACCCATAATTAACTCATGTTTAATATATTTTCACAATGTGGGCTAATTTTTAGCCATGGGATCCAAACATGCCCATTAGCTTTAATTTCAATTTCAGTTTAGAAATCATCTTTTGGCAAATCCAAAAAGCGGCACTAAGAGCACGCTTCAGCGCTAAGCGGACAGGTAACGCTTGGCTTTGGGGCATAAGCGCTACCAAAGCGGCGCGACCGCCTTGGTGGAGCAGCGGCTGCTGGCTCCAGCCTTGGCGAGAGGCGGGAGGGGGAGACGCTGACGCCGCCGCCGAGCCTGGGACTGCCGCGCCGTCGCTACCGACGAATCTCCGCAAAACGCGCTGAGAGAGAGCTGCGAGAGATGGAGGAGCTGAAAAGAAGTAGATCTCACCGGCTCCTTCTCCCTTCTCACGCGGGATGGACGCCGCTGCCCCTGAATCCACGCGCTGCGGCTCCTCCTCCCTCCTCACGCGCGTAGCCGGCGACGGAGAAGAAGCCCGGCGGCCAGGAACGACGGAGGAAGGCGGGGCGGCGATGAGAGGCGAGACGGCGCGGGAGGCAGGGCGGGAGGGGCGGAGCGGAGGACGCTCGGCGGCGCGACGGGAGGTGTGGGGCGGTGGTGGTAGTCCGAGCGGGAGCGGTGGGGGTGCGCGTGCACGAGCCGCGGGATAGATCCCGGTCTCCCGAGAGCGATGGTCTAAAGTCTCTGGTCAACAGGCAGGCACCGAGAGGGGCTCTGGCCTCTGGCGACTCGGAGAAGGTTTGGACTTCAGTTCTAGCTGGATTTTTTTATTTTTATTAATCCTTTTTTAATTAATATTTTAATAATAATTGCTACCAAAAAGAATTTCCCAGAAGAATCCTCTTTGGTCACATGCACTGGCGCGACAAGTGGACCCACGCTAGCGTCCCGTCGTTGACTAGAGCTGCGTGGTGGGGACGGTGGGACCCTTGATTGTCGCGCCATTGAGTTCGGTAACAGTAGGCGATAAAAGGCATGCCCAAGATCCTTTCTTCCTTCTCTCTTAGTCCTCTTCCTCCTGGGAGCTCGACCTCTTGTTGTGTTTTCTTCTCTCTTTCCTCTCTTCCTCCCATTCTCTTTGTGTATGAAATGAAGTTTGGATTGTGATTTTGTTTTGCAAGGATCTCAAAGGTGGTATGACTCTCTCACCCTATGATGTTTATGTGTTTGAGTTGCTGTGTTGTAGACTGCTATGGTTTAGACTGTTGTGTGCAATACTGGCTTTTGTTTGGTTAATTAACTGAAAGTTTGTTTGGCTAATGACGTGCATTATATTATGATTCCATCGTTACTTGGTAGACTGTTGTACTGCTTGGACAGGTTTTTTGTTGCACTGTTGTAGGGTTTGAGTTCTTTGTGTTTTGGACATATATACTCCGTGTTGGACCGTTGAAAGTAACGTTACTTGTTAGGTTGTTATTTGAAGTTAGTTTGTATTCACTACATGTATGGTTTTAGTGTTTATGTACGGTTATCATTTAGAGGGATTAAATTTGTTTCTAGGGTTTGAACTCATGTGTTTGCACGATGATAGGTAGATGCAAATTGTGGAATTCCTTTTGTAATAATGATTGTCCTTGATGAATTTGGTAGGTTCAATGGCGGTTCGAAATAACAAGCGGTTCTTGCACCATCGGAAGGATCATGGTGCCTTCAAATCCTTTCCTACCAAAGACACGCCAACACCGTTGTGTCACGATGGGCTACGGCCTTTGTGAAGTAGTCAAGGCATCCAAAAGTCATTGGGCGTGCTTTCTACGTGTGTCAACTTAAGCGTCGCCCCTCGACAATTGATTCCTTTCTATAGGATGAAACTTCTACTGGTGGATCGGTGGCCATGAAATGTTCGATCCGGCCGATTATGTTGTTTCCTTACGACCCTCGAAAGAGCCGTCCATATCTGAGAGTTTGTTCGTTGGGTTAAAATCGCCACCAAACCCTCCGGAAATGACAGAGGAAGAGAAGCTTGACGCTAGCTAGTTTGTAGCGGCTAGTAAATACTCCTAAATGCCATCGTGGATCTGTCGCGTGATGCGACTACTCCCGGCCAATTTGGAGCGTTCGCTCCCTTCTACCGCTATGGATTGCCATATAAGCGTGCCCTATGGGCTAAAATCAAACACGCCTGAAGGCTATGTTAAAATCACCTCCCTCACGCTCCCGTACTTTCACCTCCCACACGTTTGGAACTGGATCCGTTGGGGAGCACGCGACGTCTTGGAGGAGCCCTCAAGCTTGGGTCCGGTGAGGAGGACGCGACCCAGGCGGAGGAGCGCCACAAAGCGTCGGCGCCGTGGCTGAGGGATATCGTGCTCGAGAGAAGCTGTCAGCATGGCTTGCTTGCGCATGCTCGGATCCCGGGAAGACGCAACAACCGGAGGAGTGCTCAAGGGCACCGTGGCTAGGCGCAGGGAGGAAGGTCGGGGAGGTCATCCTGGTGCGGTGTGCGAGGGGCTTCGGCTAAGCGGTGGTACATCGATGAGGTTGAGGATGAGGTGGGGAATGCGCGCGTCGTCGGAGCGGGGAGACAGACGGCGCAGTCAACAGATGAGAGAGATGGACGCCTTGTGGCGGCCGGTGACTAGGACCGGAAGCGGTGGTGATGGTCACATGGAGGAGCGGCGGTGGGGAGGCGAGGGGCCATGGAGAGGACGAAACGGAGGAACTTGCGATACCTCAATCCTCGGCATTTGTGTAGCCGGAGTGTTCTATGAAATGCCAACAACGGAGAGAGTGGGGAAAGGGTGGTGGTAAGTTTACCAGATTGTTGGTGCAAGGGTAGCCAAAACCGTTGTATAGATAAACAAACACGGTCTCTGTTTTGCCAAGCTCATTCCAATGCAGCGAAACAAACACACGAGGTTGCACCACGAGGATCGGGCTCAAGCTGGCCTCGGCCAGGCCAGCCAGCCATGTCGAACAGGACATGCAAACAAAAGGACCCTAGAAGTTCTCTAGGCCCGATTTCAATAAGCCCAACAAAATAAATACGTCAAAGATGTTCTAATGAATTGGTACCATGGATTTGCCAAAAGATGATTTCTAAACTGAAATTGAAATTAAGCTAATGGGCATGTTTGGATCCCAGGGTTAAAAATTAGCCCACATTGTGAAAATATATTAAACATGAGTTAATTATGGGCTAATAAGTGCTAATGGACTCTAACCACTAATTAGCTCTTATTAGCCCAGAATTAGCCCACATTTAGGCTTTCTAATTGTTATAAGAAAACATGGGCTAATTCTGGGCTAATAAGAGCTAATGAGAGCTAATTGGTGGTTAGAGTCCATTAGCCCTTATTAGCCTATAATTAGTTCATGTTTAATCTATTTTTACAAAATGGGCTAATTTTAGCCATGGGATCCAAACAAGCCCTTGATTTGTGTATGCAGGGTAGACACTCCTTTATGCGTGCAGTATCCGACAGTTTACCCACGTCCACTTCGAAATAAAGTATGTTCGTCTTGGGGCCTGTTTCCCAGGACTAAAATTTAGTCCACCTTGTGAAAATAGATTAAATATGAGCTAATTATGTGCTAATAAGGGCTAATGGACTCTAACCACTAATTAGCCCTCGTTAGCTTTTATTAGTCCACATTGGGCCTGTTTGGATCAAGGGCTAATGTAAAATTAAATTAAACATGAGCTAATTATGCATGGATTAATAAATGGCTAATTGACTCCAACCACCAATTAGCCCTCGTTACCTCTTATTAGTTCAGAAAATTGCCCAGATTTAGGCTTCTAATTGGTATAAAAACAAAGGCGATCCAAACACCCTTATAACTTTCTAACTAGTAAAAAACAAGGACTAATTATTACCTCTTGGATGGAACACCCCTGAATTACGCTCAGATTTGTATGTGATTTTCGTATTCGACTTTGACATGCAAATTTCTCCCGAATTCAACACAATTTCAACAGCCTTTGTGCACTTGAGTTCAAGCACAGCTGGGCGCGAGGGCGCGTCCGCATGGCCTTTGATTCGTGGCAGACCCAGACAACAAACGGGATCTTGGGGGTAGTGCCAGCGCTCGGCGGCCGACCGTCGGAGATGGGGAAGCGGGATTTTGAGCGTCTGCACCACATGGCGTTCTTCGACGCCATAGCCACGGAGCTCGCCGGCAAATACACGTCGCAGGAGGTCAACCACCTCACCCTCGCCTACTTCGCCGTTGGTGGCCTCTCCCTTCTTCAGGAGCTTGACTGGGTAAGATCTCACCCGCTCCGCCACGATGCATCTTTTATCGATCCACTTGTAGAATTCTACCGGTGGTTTGTCATGTTCTGGATTCGCCTGAGTGCAAAAATTAGATCTTGATTACTTGTTAGGGGCACTGTGCGCATGTTATCATCCCAGTAAGTGTAACCCGAATTATATGCAAAAAATAACATAGATCTAGGCAGCAGTAGATCTGTGCACTTAAGAATTATTAGATAGAATTTTAACTTCTCATCCTAAACACGTATTTCCTTTGGAAAAGTAGGGAACATTCAAAGCTTGTGACAACTAAAGCTCATAGAATTTCAGCCCTCTGTGTAATCTTATTAAAATTTGTTCAATTGAGGCAATAAGTGTGTTTAAGTGTTCATAAACATGCTTAAGCGTTTTATAATGTAGCAGAAATTGATTTTTTTTGTCTTGGACCGAACAAATGAGAGATGACCTAGAGAAAAAAGCCTCCTAAATATATGGCTAGTATCTAGTTCACTAGGAGTACGCAAGAACGGCAAAAGCACGACGAATTATTGATTTAAGAATGGGAATGGGC